AAGAATTATCATTTTCACGTAATAATAATAATAATTTTTTTAATTGTGACATTTACTTTTTATTCTCTACATCACTTACAATATATTAATAATGTTAATTTTATAAAAGTTTAATGTCTTAGGACAATATCATATATTTCTTAATTTGTGTACGAAAAAATTTAAATGTCTCGTAGGGAATGGAAAGGTATATCCTTAATGGCCAAATTCCACACTTAACATCAATTGACCTCATACATATACGGCAAGAGCACGCTAGGCCCTTTTCATCGATTGGTCTCAACAAAAAGGTAAGACAATTAATGGCAATAATAACACAATAACCATGACAACCAAGATCATTACGGAAAAAGTTAAGGGATTTGGATATAAATAAATACACCAATAAGTCAAAAAAGAGGCCATGAACTATTTACAGAAGAGATAAAACTTTACTAATTCACTATCATTAAAATCTGTTTGATCACTACGCCAAAAATAAACTTTAGCAGCACACATACGAAAGCGCTTTTAGGAAAAAGCGCTGCTGTAGGTATTAAAAAAAATTCGCTTAAAAAAAGCGCTTTCAAAGGGTCCCTTAAGAAAGCGCTTTTCAAAAGCGCTGCTAAATGTCACCCTTAGAAATTGCTTTTTGAGAAGCGCTGCTAAAGGGTGCCTTTCAGAGGGAACCTAAGAAAGCGCTTTTCAAAAGCGCTGCTAAAGGTCAGCCTTAGAAATCGCTTTTCAAAAGCGCTGCTAAATCTGGCCTTTAGAAAGCGCTTTTAAAAGCGCTGCTATAGGATATGCTACGAAAGCGCTTTTTTATGTAAAAGCGTTGTTATACATGACCATTAGAAAGCGCTTTTAAAAGCGCTTTCGTAGGTTGTTTTATAATAAATTTTATTGTTTTTGATTAAAGGTGTGTTCGTACTGTGGCTGTTGTGTTTCCTTTCTTCCAACGTCCCAACCCCCAAATTCGTTCCCGTTCCTTCTTCGTCCTCTCACGGTAGCTCTTTCCGTTCAATCGCCACCATCGTCAACTCTCATCGCCGCCGCACGACTCGTCCCTCTCTTCACAAGGTTCATACTGTGGCTGTTATGTATTATGAAATCAGTTTTGGTTTTCGTTGATTATTATTTTCTTCTCATTCACAGTGTATTGGTTGTTGTTGTTGTTTGATGATTTTTGAATGTTTCCTAAAACCCTTTGATGATTTTTTTGTTACCTTTTTTTTTGGAGCAATGGACGGTTTAGTGTTATGTGATTATGTTTTAAAAGTTATTGAGCCTTTATTGAATAATCGGGAACGAAATATATTCTTGGAAGCCATAGTCCCTCAGATATGCATATACTCCCTCAGCCATCAGCCCTCTTCCATTAAACCTTGTTTTCATGACAGTTTGATTCCTATTTGGTGTTAAATTGAGTAACAGAATTTTGACAGCATTACTATTTTTGTTTAATTGGTGAGTTTCTAATGATGGTTAATAATGTATTTTGGGAGCGAATTTCATTGGGTTTGGTTTTTGATTGTGAATAGAATTAATGTTGAATTTGTGATGATGTTATTGTATGGTTATTGAGCTAATTGTTGAGAATTTGATCCCATGTTCATTTTGAGTCAATGGAAGGAGCTGTTATTAATATGTTATTTCATTTTGAGTTAATCTTGAATGAATTAAACTTGGTGTTGATTTTGATTGTTCCTAATTTTGTTTTAAAACATGTTGGCTTTGAATTTGTGATGACATTGTGTGATTTGGTTTTGAATGACGAACTCGGTTATGGTATTGTTGTTTATCGTGTGCACATGGAACACTTGTTTGAGATGAGTTTTATTGAGCATTATTAGGATTACATAGTTGTTTCCCGGAATTTGGTTCGGTTGATTTTAGCTTACTTTGACCTTGATTTTTCATATCATGAACTTGAATTGGATAAGAGCTTGAATTTTTGGTTCCCGTTTTCATTTGTGAATCGATAATCATGATAACTGTTTGATAACTTGATGTCCATTCATGATGCATTCATACAAGTTTCATTTGGTTTCAATTCTCTTGTGATTACTAACTTGTTTATGGTTTGTGTAAGTTTCTCAAGACTAATCAAGTAGTCATTCTCTCTTCTTACCTCTTATTCACTTTTGATTGATTAATCAAGTTTTGATTTATTTACGTGATTTTTTTAATTAAAAATGGATTAGTTTATTAATCTATTTTTCTTAACTCGATGAGGCCATGCCATATATAAGAAACAAATGAAGTTTGGTATAGGGTAGCCCTTGAGTTTGATGAAACAAGGGTGTACTAGTATATAAGAAACGGACATGTAGAGGGTTGTGCTAATGATGTTGTGTTGTGTTAGTGAATGGTGGTGGAAATTATGATTCATTAACAAACGGGGTTAGCCATTTCACATTACCATTCATTATTATGTATCTATATATCTATATCTATATGTATATTTAATTAGAGATAATGTAAAGTGATTAATTAACTTGTTAATGAGATGGATAAAGAAACAAAAACAACTTTTTAAGGTAACAGAATGCATGCTTATATAAAATTGTGAGAGTTAAGAATTATGATTAGTGATGTAATCATAAAATGTGATTAGTTGATAGAATAAAATGAATTTAGTGAAAAGTATTGAGTATTGGTTTTGTTATATGGTTGTGCAAGAGCAAGTGCAAGTTTTGAGTATTGGTTTTGTTTTCTAACTTATCATTTAGCTCAGATTGACTCAGAAACCGTAAACCATGGATAAGACATGGATGTATTCCAATCGATTGTCGAAAGAGTACGAGAACGGGGTATCAGAATTCGTTAAGTTTGCTGTTGCGCACGCCGAAGACCCCGGTCGAATGACATGTCCTTGTTTGTGTTGCTGTTATGGGAATCGAGTTGACGCGGTTCAGTTGGCATCGCATCTAATACGGTATGGAATTGATAGAAGTTATACATGTTGGAATATGCATGGTGAGAAAAGTGACGGGAATGATGAATCGGGGGATAATAGGACCTATGCTTCAAACGACAATGGCACAGATACATACGATTATGATCGAGTTGAAGAGATTGCAGAAGCGCTTGAAGAAGATCTTAATGATTGTCCCAAAATGTTCGAGAGGTTGGTAAGCGATGCATAAAAACCGTTGTATAATGGTTGTACAAAATTCACAAGATTGTCTGCGGTATTAAAGTTGTACAACTTAAAGGCGGGCAATGGATGGTCGGATAAAAGTTTCAGAGTTATTAGCCCTTATGAAAGATATGCTACCAGAGGATAATGTTCTCCCCAATCGAACGTATGAGGCCAAAAAGATGTTGTACTCTATTGGCATGAGCTATGACAAGATACATGTCTGTCCAAAAGATTGCGTTTTGTTTCGAAACGAGTATGCATCGTTAAGTGAGTGTCCTAAATGTGGTGCCCCTCGATATAAGAAAAAGTTTGTCTCCGGCAAAAGTCTTATGGTATTTTCCTATAATTCCGAGATTTAGACGGATGTATCATAGTGAAACCGATTCAAGACACTTAACTTGGCATGCAAATGAAAGAATTGTTGATGGAAAGTTTCGACATCCGGCAGATTCACCACAGTGGATGAAAATTGATAATGATTATCCTGAATTTGGAAAAGACGTAAGAAACCTTCGCTTGGCATTGTCTACTGATGGAATGAACCCACACGGTATTCAAAGTATCTCGCATAGCACATGGCCTGTAATTCTTATGATTTATAACCTACCTCCGTGGCTATGTATGAAGCGTAAGTACATGATGTTATCTATGTTAATTTCTGGGCCTAAACAACCAGGAAATGACATAGAC